TCGGCTCCTAGAACACCTCAACAAAATGGAGTCGTTGAAAGGAAAAATAGGACGTTGCAAGAAATGTCAAGGACCATGTTGAATGAACACAACCTACCTCAATATTTTTGGGGAGAAGCGGTCAACACGGCATGCTACGTTCTTAACCGGGTATTACTTAGACCTATTATTAAAAAGACTCCCTATGAACTTTGGAAAGGTAAAAAACCAAATATTTCCTATTTCAAAGTTTTTGGGTGTAAATGCTATATTTTGAATACCAAGGATCATTTAGGCAAATTTGAGCCTAAATCAAATGAAGGAATTTTCTTTGGTTATTCAACAAATAGTAGAGCCTATAGGGTATATAATAAATCAAATCATAAAGTAAAAGAATCTATGCATGTGAAATTTGATGAAACCGATCCCTTTGGGTCGAGTAAGGTAATTGCAGGCTCAAATGAAGAAGAAGAGGAAGAAGAAATCCTGGAAATTCTTGCCCAAGAAGAAGAAAATGAAAAGAAGGAACTACCAAAGGCCTACAAACACTTGAAGAATCATCCGAGAGACAATATCATCTACCAAAGGCCTACAAACACTTGAAGAATCATCCGAGAGACAATATCATTGGAGATATTGAAAAGGGAGTTAGAACTAGGAACAATTACAATCTTTGTGCACACTATGCGTTCGTTAGTCAATTTGAACCTAAGAACGTAGAAGATGCTAAAAGATAGTGATTGGATTATATCCATGCAACTAGAGCTTGAGCAATTTGAACGCAACAAGGTTTGGGAACTAGTCGAAAGACCGGAAACCCGACCCGTTGTGGGCACTAAATGGGTCTTTAGAAACAAGCTTGATGAAAATGGTGTTATTATCACTAATAAAAGTCGACTTGTTGCTAAAGGCTATAGCCAAGTTGAAGGACTTGACTATGATGAAACTTTTGCTCCGGTTGCTAGGCTTGAATCTATTCGTATGTTATTAGCTTTTGCAAGTGCTTTTAATTTCAAACTTTTTCAAATGGATGTTAAAAGTGCTTTTCTCAATGGATGGTTAAAAGAAGAAGTTTATGTTGAACAACCCCGCGGTTTTGAAAATCCTGATTTTCCAAATCATGTTTTTAAACTTCATAAGGCCTTTTATGGACTCAAACAAGCTCCTAGAGCTTGGTATGAGCGACTTACCAAACATCTCATCTCACATGGATTTGCAAAAGGAAAGATCGATTCCACACTTTTTGTCAAAACAAAAGGAAAAGATCTCATAATTGTGCAAATTTATGTTGATGATATTATTTTTGGGTCAACTAATGAAGCCTTATGTAATGAATTTTCAGGAATTATGACAAGCAAATTTGAAATGAGTATGATGGGTGAGTTGAACTTCTTCCTTGGACTTCAAATNTTTGTCTTTGTGCACGTTTCCAATCATCACCCAAAGAATCACATCTTAGTGCCGTCAAGCGAATAATTCGATATGTCAAGGGAACGACCAATATGGGTTTATGGTATCCTAAGAATACGAATTTAAGCTTGATAGGTTTTAGTGATGCCGACTTTGGAGGGTGTCGTATTGATCGGAAAAGCACAAGTGGCACATGTCAATTCATAGGTCATGCACTAGTGTCTTGGTCATCTAAGAAACAACACTCCGTCGCCCTATCCACCGCCGAAGCGGAATATGTGGCTATGGGTAGTTGTGTTGCTCAAATTTTATGGATGATGCAAACACTAAGTGACTTTAACTTAAAATTTTCAAAAGTGCCTATTTTTTGTGATAACTCAAGTGCAATAAATATTTCCAAAAATCCTGTTTTGCATTCTAGAACTAAACATATAGAAATAAGACATCATTTCATACGTGATCATGTTGCAAAGGGAGATATTCAAATTGAATATGTAAATACACTTGAACAACATGCCGACATTTTTACAAAACCATTAGATGAAAAACAATTCTTACATATTTGTCGGGAAATGGGAATGCTTGAATTAAAGTGAAATTTAAGGTTCTTATTATCCCATTATATCATAACAATAAATTGATCAAGTCCAAATGCTCAAAACACGCGTCTAGAAGTTGAAACAAAACATTAAGCTGAGACACGGTACCCTTGTCGGTACCCTGGTCCCGTCCTAAATAGGTGCCGCCAGAAACAGATGGGATTTTGGAAGCTTCACGGTAGCTGGACACGGTACACCATACCGTATACACGATACCAAGATACCGTTAACACAGTACCAAGGTACCGACCGTCTCTTCAAAGTCAAATATTCTTAAAAACCCTAGACCAGCATCTATTCGGCATCTGCAGCGTGTCTTTCCGGCGACCTCTCTCTCGTCTCCTCTCTACCGTAAGACATCCAAGGTAATCCTTCATCCAAATTTCATCAATTTTATCATCAATTAAGCTTCAATTCCCATATTTTTTCATATCCTCTCTTTAATTCGTGCATTAGGTATCAATTTCCCCATTTTCGTCCAATTTTACCAATTTTCTCAAAATCTCCAAAATGAGTGAAATTGTTTCCAATGTTCAAACCAATGCTCAACCCGATGTTCAAGATGGGTTCAAGGCTTACGCCGGCCCACATATCATCGAGGGAAGAACCCTTAAACAAGATGACATCCCGGTTCCCGTTCTTGAACTAATTCAAGAACAAGGTTGGAGTCTCTTTCTTCAACTCCAAGCCCCCGTTTACCCGGACCTCGTTCATCAATTCTATTCTTTTATGAAATACTATCCCAAAGACCCTTCCATTACCGCCGTAGTTGCCGGCAAAACCTTCGGATTCAACACCCAAAACCTTTCCGAATGATTTCACCTAGACCGTCAAGGAGTCTCCACCTATTGCAAAAAGGGGTGGATTACCGACTCACGAGATTTTAACTCCGATTCTTGCCTCCGAGTGCTAAATAACATTTCCCTTGACCATGTCTTTGAGGACCCGCACTACTTTCTTCGTAGGCCAAATGTCCAAGACTTACCCGCAAATATGTTCATTCTCCTCAAAATCCTTAAAGAAAATGTCATCCCGGTCCTTAACAAAGATAAACAAGTTGGGGTTTATGAATGCACTCTCCTATATTGGCTTCTCACTCACAAGAAAATCAATCTCCCTTCCATCATCCTAAAACACATGTACGAATGCTCCGGTCGCCAAAACAAACCCTATGGCATGCTTCTCACCCACATCTTTGCCAAGAGGGAAATTCTTGAGTCCTGCGTCCGCTATCTTGACGCGGAGTGCCTTGGCTATTGTGGCCTTGTAAAGATCGGAGAGGAGTATTACATGAAGAAAGAGTTTCAAAATCTTGATGAGGCAACACGAGCGGAGTATGGTCCTCGGTGTTCCATGTCATCGTTGCCATCCACTTCACGCGCACCCCAGGCCGAAGCCGAAGAAAATGCAAACACGGAGGTCCCCGTTCATGCTCCTCGGGTCAAACACTCAAAGTCGGCGTCTCATGCTTCCTCGGCCTCTCTCATGCATCGTCACTCTCACATGGCTTCCACTTCCAGAAATCCCTTTAAGAAGTTCAAGAAGTTCATCCTCAAGACCGTGGTGGCTCCGATGAAGAAACTTCAAGAAAGCCTCGATGACCTCTCGGATCGCATGAAGAAAATGGAGGATCGTGAGAATCTCCAAAAGCAAAATGAGGATCGTGCTTCTAGACGTCGTCGCTAAGTGTTGAGCATTTGACAAAATGATCAAACATTCACTTATCTATGTTTTTCAAAACAATTATGTATTTTGTTCTATGTTTCAAACTCCTTATCATGTCTTATGTTTAAAACTCGTACTTATTCACTTTTATGATTGAAAACCCCCTTGTTATGATTATGCTTATGATTTGATGCTTATGGTTCACTTGAATGCTTATAATTGTTGCCATGATGAATGCCTATGTGTTGAAACTCGTGTTTTTGGTACCCCGCCTTTTTGAATGTTGCCAGAAGGGGGAGAAATATTAGGCTTTTATATGCATACATTTAGGGGGAGTTTTTTGTCAAAATCTCACGTGCATCAACTTAGGGGGAGTTTTAAAATCAATGCTTTTCACGATATGTTTATGCGTTTGTTTATTATATTCGAAAGCCTTATTTGTCAACATCAAAAAGGGGGAGATTGTTGGCCTTGAATGCCGTACCCTGTAACCATTTTGATGTGCCAAATAAGTCTTCCAAATGCTACTAATATCATTTGCAGGAAGAAACCAAACGCCAAACCTCTATTAGCTTGTTTAGCATCACCGAGATATACTCCTACGAGTTTAGAAATTATTGTGTAAAGGTAATGATATATTTTAATGATTAACTTATGCCCTTTCAGTGAAAAATAATTTTTAAAATGTCAAATATGTTCTTAGTTGGGGTTATTTTGAAAACGGAACACGAAAAATGAGTTTTGGAAAAATTACACAGACCTAACAGTACCTGGCTACCGTGTACACGGCACCAGGGTAGCGCCGGTAGCCAAGTGAACGTACCGTTGTACGTTTCACCTAGGAGGTACACGGTACCCCCTACCGTGTAACGGTACCTGGGTACCGGACGGTAGGCAGAGACGGTTGGCCACCCCCGTCCTAATCAGCTACCGCCAGAGGCGAACCAAAGTTTTGGCCTACACGGTACCCCCAAACGGTAGGCTATACCGTGGTCACTGTACCTAGGTACCGGACGGTACTTACCCTACCGTGAAGGGTACCGGATCCGTTGGCAGCACTGTAGCAAATTGCCAATTTAAATTCAAATCACCCCTAATCACTTTCTAACGGCATTTAACGTTAAAAACTCAAATTTTAACATTCCAAACTCCTATATAAACCCCCTCTAAGTCTCATTTTATTCACAATAACTTCCCAATTAAATCTAAAGCCTCTTTCTCTATTCTTGAGTGTTCTTAAAGCTTTGTTCTTATTTTTCTTACTCTTTTGAGTAAAAAGCTTTCACTATTTTCATACACTCACACACAAGGGCATTTGTGCTTCATTATTTTATATCTTGCCTATAGGCTTTTGTTGTTGTTGATTTAATCTTTTGTTCTTCTCCTACCCAACTTACATTTGTTATCATTTTGGTAGAGAAGCAACACCAATCTTTTTATTGATTTGTAAAAGGTGTGGATAGCCTCTAAATCCTCATTGTAAGGTTGAAGATAGCCTTAAAATCTTCGGTTGTAAACGGTTGAGATAGCCGTAGTAAAATCTCATTTGCTTATTGGCAAGGGTTGTTTGCCAAACCTCGTTTGAGTCTTCTTAGTGAAGCCAAACAAGTTAGTGGAGGTTA